GAGCACCAAAAAGCAACACAGAAATACTAGGTCTACTGTGCATTCATATTCTAGATGGTTCATTTATTATATCTAGTATCATATTAAGCAACACAACAAAACAAGAACCAGCAGTAATGCAGCCAGGGCATGATTAAGGGTGTCTCTAGGAGCATCAACAAACATGGAGACTATATGGATTGCAGCCCGGAAAGATTCCAAGTTGGTGAAATGACAGCTTGATTAGTTTTTGTCTGACAAATGTGGTGAGAGAGATCAGAATCAAACATAATTCCTAGGTTATAGGCCTTCAAATAAAACCAGGAAAAAAAATTCAAAGAGGGCAACATCAATTTGCAAGACCAAATCAACGCTCCAGCCCAGTTTCTTAGTGCTCAGACACAACACAGCCACAACTGCTGAGGCTAAATAACTATCCTCCAGGGAGCTTCCTGCATTAACAGGGACATGCCTTTAGAGTGGGACAAGCTTCAGACCTTGCAAGACAGTCTTCCCTCCCATCAAGAGCCTTATTAAATATGCACATATTTATAATTTAATGGGAAAACATGCAAGTAGAGCTATTTCATATCCAGGCAGTGTTGCCTATGGCTACTCCAAAGGTCAAGCATCAACACCCTGTTACCCATATTGCTGCATGTAGGCATGCAGTATAATCAAATAATGTAAATAGCAGACAGTAAATGGATTTTTCCTTCTTCCCTCCCACCTGTTCTAACAACAAAAAGAGTGAGTCAAAAACATGCAGGGGAAGTGAGCTTCTGAAAATGTATCATCACAACCAGAAGTATTCCTCTCCCTCATTTTACACCAGTTTGAAACTGTACATCCCCCATTTAGGGAAACTATGTGAGATAAAATGGAGGCTTCTGGGTTTCCTTCCCATGTGGAAAGGGGGCATGGAAGGGGAGGCAGAGTAGAACAAGACTCTTACCCAGGAATAAAATGATATGTCTCCTGGAGCTCTTTCCCTCCGAGGTCTCACTTTTTCTTAGGTATTCCTCCTGGTGTCTTAGCCCACCCTTCACTGCCACAGTTCCTTCCTTGTGAATCATCAGGGTTTTCATCATGCTGCGGCACATGAAGCTGACAGATCCCAGCACTATGACGTACACAGCAAAGGCACCGAAGATGCTGGCCTGAAAGACAGACCACTTGGAGGACAGGCTGGTACATATGGTCATATTGTGCTTCAGCTCAGGGAGGTGGTGCCTGGGCGTAGGTTTGACACAGGCAGTTGTACCTTGGTAGCCCTCGATGATTTCCAGGGGATATTCTGTGCCCATGGCAAAGAGCAGGGGCAGAGCCACTATCACAGATGTCCCCCAGACAAAGGCGATGAGCAGCTTCACTGTGCGGGGTCCAGAGAGAGCCTTGAACTTGAAGGGGTGGCAGATAGCCACATACCTCTCAAAGCTGAGGGTGGCAACATGCAGCACAGTCGCATAACTGCAGGCTTCAAAGAGGAAGTAGTAGAGCTTGCAAGCTATGTTGCCATTGGGGGTGGAGAATGGGCTCCAGATGGCACTGAAGAACTCCATGGGCATGCCCAGCAGAATGACCAGCAGGTCTGAGCAGGCCAGGCTCACCATGTGGTCTGTGACCTCCTTCTGTAGGTAGCCTTTCTTCTGCAGGATCCTGGTAGCCTTGATGGTGATGCTGTTGCCCAAGATGCCCGCAACAAAGATGCAGACATATGCTGAGGCCAAAGTGATCTTGACCCAAGGAGACACCTCAAACTCAGGGATGTGACTGTGGTCAATGAGATGAGAACAGTCTGAAGGGGATATCTGTCCTGCCATGAGCAGCCCCTGGGGGGACGAGGAGGAGAGAGGAAGAGCCTTCCTGCCCTCTCTGATGTTGAAATTCACAACAAATAGATACTTTCTCGTGTTATCCCTCTCACCAAGACACACAGGTCAGAGCAGTCAGGTACAACGAACGAGTCTCAACTAGCCACACCTGTGGGTTTTGTTAGCAAAAGCCACCGAGTCAATAAGCTGAGAAGGAAAATGTTTCAGCTCTTACCTATCCTCATGGCAAACACCTCTTGCTCCTTTTGGATTTTCCTCCTCCTTTCTCTACTGAGTGAAGTAGCCCTTCTCCAGCCCTTTGCAGCGTGAATTGCTCTCGTTTCAACGCTTGCCTCTTCCTCTGCAAGCTAAGGCAGATTTTGGTCCCGGTCCCAGCAGGAGGAAGTCAGATTTTCTGTGTGGTCATAGCTGCTTTGTTAACCATTAACCTAAATCTTGGCTATCCCTAGTCACTGGCAGTAAAGCAGGTTTAGGGGGAAAAAAAAGCACCACCCATGTCTGAAATGAACTTCCTGTAATAGGAGTTCCTGCTCAAGAACAGAAAGGTGTTTCTCCTGAAGCTGTTAGGTTGATGGTGTCAAGCTGAATGTGTGAACAGACGCTGAAGAGAACATATCTGCTGGTGAGTTTAACATTAACTGGGCTTCAGACATTCCTTCTATATGCGCTAATGCCAACATGCTTCACTACTTTACATTTCCTTTAATGAAGACCTCGGCATCTGCCGCATCAGTGTTTGTTAGGCAGTTTATGCAGCCACGGACTGATTTACATCGACAGGAGATTCTGGGTTTTAGTTGCTGCTGATGAACTGGTAGCTTCGTAAAATAACTGTTTAAACTTTAAAGAGTCTTCTCAGAAGTTATAAAAAAGCTGAACTTTAGGTTTAGACACATTGTCTCCCTTTAAATTTCCATATTCTCATGTTAGATAACAAAAATAATGAAGTTAGTAATCCCAGTTATGCTCATGCTTTCAAATAATCTGTAGTAGCAGGAGATGAAAATGTACTTCCCCCTCCTGTGTCTCACCCCAGGGTGAATGAATTTAATGCACTCTTTAGTTTTAGTTTCAAACCATACCGCTGAAGGCTCCCAAGGTAACCCCTGGAAACATTTAATTAGAGGGTGTGTATATGGATTAGGAAACCTTTAAATTACAATGCAAAATGGCTGAACAGCTTTTGCAGCTATAATCAGGAGAGGGGCCCAGTACAGTGATCTGCACCAATACCAAATCTAAGAACAGTGAGTTCACAAAGTGATTTTTATTAACTAGACAAGCTCATGTGACACTTTCAGCTTATGATAAAAGAGGAACATTAGAAAGCTGTTATTAAGCAGTCTCCTCACATTCAGTGGTTATCACTGTACCTCAGCAGCCCAAGTATATAATGAACAAAAGATGCCCAAAACAGGATAATAAGCACCTGTTTCTATATATTATTTATGCATTCCTGTTTCAGAAAAATCACCTCAAACCTTGCACAACTTCAAGCCCTGTAGTCCCAGTCATCTTTCCTTATGTTTGATAATTCACATTTGTTCTGCTCAGACAAGCTTTCTATTATTACCCAATTTCTTTCACTTAATTTTACTTTATAAAAGTGTGAACAAAGATTACATATGCATGACTGAATTGTGGAAATGAAGCTAATTAAAATTTCCTGCTTACCATCAAAAGGGAAAAAGGGAGAGAGAGAGCAAAAGAGAGAGAAGGCCCAATAGGATTAGATCTCCCCCTTTTTTCCACACCAATTATAAAATGCAGAACACAATTTTTCAGTTTTCAATATTATCTTTAGAACATACATAAAGTTTATTAACTTTCTAATAAAGAGCTGATGCCACAAAGGGGATAGGAAGGTAGGAGACAATTGTGGATACTCAGAGACTGAGACCATTAAAAAAAATTTCTCACATAGGTTACTGGACTAGATAAACTATCAGTGAGTATTCCAGAGATAGGTATAAAATCCTTATCACGGATGATTATTAAAGAATATATCTTCCTGGAGGGAGACATTTCTCCCCAACTATATGTGCTTAATGCCTTTTTGTGGCATGGAGGTTGAGAACTCATAGTCTTTACCCTGGAGGATATGATACCAGTTTATAAACATGATTTGTGTGATGGTCTAATTTTAGGGATTTTGTTAAGTTTTCCTCAATATCTTGTAGCAGTGAGTACCACAAGTTAGTTTTTGTGTTGTCTTCCCCTTAGCAGTTTTGAAAGTGAATGTGGCCTGTGTCCTTGAACATGGGAGAATGGTCCAGGGAGTCCTTCCTGACCCAATTTGTTGCAATTGCACACCATGACTTCAGCCCCCAGCACTGAAGAGGAGTCAAGGGCATTAAGGATACAGATCACCTTATTTCTTTCTAAATTCAGCACACGTGGATGCTGCACACTGCAGCCAACCACTTGTCAGCCCCTTGATAAGAATAGAGCATCCTGAAGATGCACATCACATGGGCACAGGGTGGCAGCTCAGCCACAGTCATGCTCACCTGAATGCTTGCAGTGATGCAGTTGTTGGCAAGAGATGACAAGTGCTGGGAGCCAGAGAAACATTGAGATAGAGCAAGAATTGTTGTCACTGTAGTATATAAGGTGATTTTTCACTTTCAGAGATAATAAAGCTGCTCATCCACCCCAGTTTGTTATCCAGCAGAGTCTACAAGGTTTCCTGAAGGGCCGTTTGCTTTCTTGCCTGGTCCTTGGATAACACACTGGTGAAAGGCCTTTTGGGGCAGAAGAAAGCAGAGCTTTATCATCCATCTTTAGGCTGTTGTACAAAGCTCACCTTCTGCACCTTGTATAGTGCACCATCTAGCTCCCAGCCATGCCTGAGGACCGCTGGCTGAGCTGAAGGGCAGGAGGGGCTGCAAAGCACTCAGTCCTTGGCCATCTCATTACAAGCCAAGTCCCCAAACTCCTGATGAGGTTGAACCCCCAAAAGTGGCCGTTAGCATATGTTGTAGCTGGAATGAATCTTGGAAGAACAGACTCACTGGACAGATGCTGTTGCATTTTAGATAAATGAATTGTAGATCAACCATTTCCAGTGTGCACTACCAGTATTCCTACTGCCTTACAAATGCACTTTCTTCCCCAGCTGCGTAGTGCCAGTATGTGGATTGGCTTGGGGTGCCCAATCTGCAGAATCACTCAATGGTTATTTCTCAATTACCATATAGTATGGGAGCCAGGGTGCTCTGATTGGCAGACAGGCATTGCCACACTTGCGTTATCTCTGCAGAATTATTTCTCGATAGCCATGTTGTGAATATGCAAATCCACCCTAATTGGCTACGCTAATCACACTGCTCTGACTGGTTTCTGTTCTCAAACTGCTCAAGCTACTTGACAGGAACAAAGAAAATACCTTGGCTTCTTGCTTCCTTTAGCTGAAAAACTCTAAAACTTAAATGAAAAAGGAGAGCTATCTCAAAAGCAAAGAAAATGAGGCTGTGAAAAGGATTAACTTTTTTTTTTTCTGATAAAACGCATTGACTTTTTTTTCTCGCCAGTCTTTACCATTCTCCATCTCAGCAAACCTCTTGTCCCTAGAATAGCTGTGATACCTTTGTCTTGCCAGTATTTGTTTAGAGAAAGCGAATCCTGGGCTTGTTCAATTCTCTTTGAAACACAAGGTAAACAAAATGAGATTGCTGTTCTGCAGAAGGCAGCTACTCTGATCTGCACAGGCAGAGGGTAAAGTGCTGTGGGAATAAAAGGAAGAAACAACACAGGCAAATTGAAGCATCCAAATGATTTTAAATGTTTTAAGAAATCAATTTGCGTGAGACGGCTCATGTTGGCTTCTAAAATTATTTTTCATTTAAAATGTAAATAATTAAAGACTGCATTCAGATAACTTAAGGTTTCTTTCTGTTTTCTGAAATCTAACAAGCCTCTTTACTGTTAAGATCCCTTTGTATTCTTCTGGTGAGTTATTCTTGAATTGTATTTCTCTTCTTTGGAAGATTATGATGATAGTTAATAATATAAATAAGTACAAGTCATTTGTGAAATTTATTTCTTCTTAATTTCCCTAAGAGTTTGGTTTTGGGCAACACAGTCTAACAACCACTGTGCTGTTAACTGCTTGGCTCCTTTTCTTCTGGCAACATGAGAGACAGGGTTATGCAATCTGGGCAATGGATGTGCTGCGTAACCTGCGTATCCATAATGAATTTTAATCTAATTAGATTACCTCTAGAAAGGTGACATATGGAAAGCTGCCATCTTTTATTTCATGATGTGCAGTGTTACCTGCTGTAATGCCATCCTGTTGGGATATCATATTGTGTTTGCTTGTCGGGAGTATAGAGAAGGGGGTTTCAAATGTGCTTCCAGGATACACAGTAAAAGGTAATCTCTGCTCCAAATCACTCTATTTAAATAAATACATCAAAACCACTACTTCCAGTATATTTTACAAATTGGCAAGCACCATGAGAAGAAATTGGGCACAGTGAGACTAAATGGTTTATCCAAGATACAGAAAATCTGTGCAACACCTGAGCCTCTGCACTGATACGCTGGATTTCAGCTAATTTCCTCACATGACCAGCAGCATACACACTACAGAGCAAGAAATGCATTTATACAGCTCTTCAGTAGTTGCTCTTGCGGTTTTAACTGATGTTAACTCACAGTAATTAAAACACTTTTACAGCACCAAAACACATAATTATTGTACTTAGTCATATCTGGAATTGTTGAACAATACACCACCTGCTTTCTGATCACCTTGGTAGATTAAAGACATTAAAGGTGTTCAAAGTATTATCTGAAGTAAACCAAAGGCAGTAGGAGGTCCGTGGGTTGCTATGATTAGGTGGGAGCGCACTTTGCCTGGCAAGAAAGTGAAAGGGTTAATTTTTCAGTCTTGGAGTAAGGAAAGAGATGCACTTCTCTCTGTCCCTTGACCCTGCAGTAGCTGTTAGGAGGCCAAAACCAGGTGGGAAGCTGTGGCCCCA